TCTATCTATCTATCTATCTATCTATCTATCTATCATCTATCATGTATCTACTATTTACCATCTATGTATTCACCTGCATATAAAATAAATAAAAATAAAATAAAAATTTATATTATTTATTTATTATTTCTTACATACATGAATGCTTGCCTGCATGTATATAAGTGCACCCATGTGTGCAAAGCCCATGAAGACTGGAAGAGAGCATAGAATTCCCCTGGAATTGGAGTTAGGAATGTTTTTTAGCTAACATGTGGATACTAGGACCAAAACCAGATCCTCTGCAAGATCAGCCATTGTTCTTAACCGGTGAGCCATCTCTCCAGCCCCCCACCCTCATCCTCTTATATGTTAAAAAGAGGACACTGCACAATAAAAGCTTATTTTCATTAATAATATGGTGCGAAGAGGACTCTGGTCATCTAACTACCCAGGCCGCTTCCACTAAGTTACAAAGTCTTCTGGAATATTTGATTTTACAATTTCTACAGATGAGAATGGATGGAAAAGTTACTTCTACAACTTTCTGTGGAGAAAACCTTAGTCATACCCCACCTAAGTGCAGGAGAGGCTGGAAACGGCCTAAACATGGGATCATTGTGTACATAAATTACCATTAAGTTCAATAGCCACTATCAGTCTTGTCCTTAATCATATTTTGTTGCAAAAATATTACAAATTTGATTGCAGTTTAGTGTAGACTCTGCTAAAGACATTAATGTTATGCATACACTTACACTATATTATATACGCAATACATTATATATTGTAATACACTATATTATACTGTCTAATCATCTATTATCTATGTTATTAGAAATTTAAAGTATGAAGACTCTTAAATACCAAATTCAGCCATCTCTGACATGGTGGGGTGGAAATATAAAGGGAATTGGACGCCTATATGTATGTCCACCCTGTCTGGGGCAAGATCGCCTGAAGTTGAATATTGGGTTTGCTACAGTCTGTGTGACTATCCAGAATGCCTAACTTTGCAACAACCTTTTTTTTTTTTTTTATTTGCTAAAAGGAGATAATCATAATACCTAGAAGGGTTATATAAATTAGTATTTTATAATTAACTCAACACAAGGCCTCTAATAATACACGCTAAACAAGCAAATCAGTTGGCATTATTATGCGTTACTACTATATCATTGCTAATGAAAATTTAAGTCCTTAATACAGTAAATGCTTATTATAATAAGATACAAATCTTTCATAATATCACAGAGCAGTCATCTAGCCCTTGCTTGAACATGTTTGAAGATACTAGTTGACTGTGTAATATGACAAATGCCAGAATTAATTACATTATTAGAAAAATTCTTGAAGTAATAAATGCTGTAGGTAAAATATAATAAATATTGAGCTTGTATTCAGTGCCAGGCTCAGATCCAAACCCACTACTGCCATTACTACTTTCCTGTTGCTTTGTTGACCTGTGACGTTACCTTTCTGCTGATATTTGACTGATAGGAAATTAAGGCCTAGAGGGTTTAAATATTAAGTCAAAAGTCCCACAGCTACTTGGTGGCAAGATGGGGATTAGATCCAATCACAGCTAAAGCCAAGTCCCTCCAGGCTTATTTGTTCTGTCCTTCACCTTTAAACAAGCTAGATGGAAAATTCCATTTCCGTTTATTTAAGAATCAAGATTGTCTCTGTGCTGTGTCTCTCAGCATGCTGTTGCTGCTAAAAATATGTTCCTTCTCAAGCCATTTTTGTCTTCTAGATACCTTCCAGGTAGCTAATTAATTTAGAAATATAATTGCAGTAGCATAGTTTAAAATTTGATTTTGGTTCAGTATTTAGTAACATTTATGAGCTTTGACATTACTTTTCAGTTCAAAGGAAAGGCACTACACTAATATACACATCATATATAACTGTCACAATTAACTTACAAATTATAATCAATGTTAATAATAATTACGGACGTTTTACATAAATACTATAGAAGTATTGTTATGCATAAAACCATGTTATTAATAGCAGACTAAGTGTACATGCAAAATGAACACAAGGTCCTATTGTTATAGTAGCAAATGGCTCTATAAGTTTAATAGGCCAAGACTATAAAATTACCTATTGGAAGACCTACCTGACCAGTTTTACTGGTCAATCACCTGGTCATTGGACCACCCCTGGAAAGGCAGGCTCACCTTAAGTCATGCTAAATAGATGGGTGGAATACCTAGTGTGTTAATGAGATAGTGAACTTTTCCTGCCTGGAATCCCCCCTCACAGCACAGATCTTCTGGACCCAGCAACTTGTAGGTCTCTATGAGTCTTCACGCTTTTCTGAATTCTTCAGAAAAACGTAGTCTTTCCTTTTCTTCTTCATGTCCCTTTTCTAAACATGCTTTCTCTAGTGCCTTGGGATGCCCCTCGCATCTTGTATTTCTTTACTTTTCCTTTAAAGCTTCCTCTCCCAGCCATGTGCCTGCCAGTCAGCCACATGTCTGACCCCCACGCAGGCTCTAAACCCACATGGCTTCACTGATTTCTTTCCTTCTCCCCACCATTTTCCTCCTCAAGGCAGCTAGTGAGATTACTGCTCTGAGGATTTTCCTTAAAATTCTAGTAAAATAGTTCTAAAAGCTCCCATTTGGGTCCACTCTTAAATTCTTTTATAAATGAGAGTAAGAACCCTCTAGGGGACACTCTTTTTTCCCCTCTTCACTAAGACAAACTGATAGCATATTTCTGATACTCCAATTTGTTTCAAGAAATGAAATCACTAGTAATTTTTGACTCTGTTATTTTCTGTGACTAACTTTTTTATTAGGTGAATTACAACCTTTGACTTCTACAGGTATATTATGGCTATGCTAGAATTAACTTTATGGGTAAATTATTGCAAATGGAATAGGATATTTTGCTGGGGAAGTCTTTTTACAGGAGAGTTAGGGCACAATTGCACTTTCCCTTTGATGCAGTTACTGCTGTTTCTACACCCAGGACAATCCTGGTCACTCCGCCCTACCTTTTTGGTTCATACGTCCTCAATTGTTACTAACTTCTGCCCTTCCTTTCTCAGGATAATGCTTAGTTAAGCTTTATGAGGTGACATTTGAGATTCCTGATCTAGAATCTTCATACCTGTTCCCTGAGGCCTGCATGAGGCAGAGTACACTTGAGGAGGCACAGGTACAGAATTGCCCCTGGGAATTCTATCCTGGGACATTTGACTGGTATCTCACAAGGCTCCACACTTCCTTCCTTCACCCTGACTCCAGGCAGCCTTGTACTGAGAGTGCTGCTCTAATGCCCATATTATGGATCCTCCTTCTTAGGCATGACAGATGGTTACAATTATGTCAAACTCATGCTTAATAAATTTGAATTTGTCTCCCCTTGAATCTCCAAGGCCTTTACTGCACTCCAGTCTTTCATCAACTCCTATCTGGAATAGTAGCTTCTAATTGCACTCCCTGTTTCTAGGACTGTATAGTCCTATTAAGATTTCCTCTAGGGCTCCTTAGCTCCTCATCCTCTTTAGTAGGCAGCCTGCCCTCACACCCTGCTTCCTTCAACCCTTCCTCCCGGCTTGCACACTTATGTTCTGTCTTCCACAAGATCTACAGATACTTTTTTTTATTTACAGAGCTGTAGTTTCCATTCAGCCTCTACCTCATGCTTCTCATCTCAAGCCTATATTCCCTTGACCAGCTTCTACAAATTCCTCTAGACACAATTCACAAAACCAAGCAGAAAGGCTTTGCTACTATGACCCCTTCTGCTTCTGGTTCACTTTCCCTGATGGTCTCATTCCATCTTCAGCTGCACTTTTTCACGACCCTTTTCAAAAAACTTATTATTTTTTAATTTTGTTTATATGAGTGTACTGCCTGCATGCACGTCAGTGTACCCATGCTGTGCAATGCCCACAGGGGTCAGAAGGGGCAGTCGGATCCCCTAGAACTGGAGTTACAGACAGTTGTTAGCTGCCATGTGGGTGCTGGGATTTGAACCAGGGTCTTCTGCAAGAACAGTCAGTGTTCTTAACCGCTGAGCCATTTCTCCAGCCCCAAGCCAGGACCCTTTTCAAAATTTCTGTTCATCCATATAAGCTACATCTCCTTCACATATCCCAAAATAGAAATGTACCTCCCCAACTGCATCATTTTCACTATGTGATAACTGTCTATCCCGAAATTAAAAGGTAAGATAATGATTAATTCTACTATCTAGAGACCAAGCACAGTCTTTCAGAATGTAAGCAAATCTAGAAGCAATAGATTTTCCTCACAGTTTTCCTTATAAAAATAAAAGATAAAGCTAGTTAAAATTATGCATGACTTATTCCCCTAATAGCTATATTTAAATATATTACTACTGGTGACCTTTTGGACACCAGATATAATACATGATGGATCACATTCTATCCATAGTAAACATACATCAAGATAGATTGGTAGATGAGTGATAGAGATAGATGATAGACAGGTAGCTACACTCTGTGAATACCCGGTACATGTTTTTATACTGCTAGTTGCATGCTTTTCCTAGGACTCACTTGAAAATGTTAATTTCATTGAAAACTTCTGGGGCTGGTGAATACAGTCCTTTTTTCTGTGTTCAAAATCTTGACCCAGTCTACCGCTTACTAGGCATTCCAGAGGAGGGTTTAGGTATCTTGAGTTTGTATTTCCAAGGCCTGCCAGAGTAACTGGCCCTTGTTAAATGACAGTAAATGTTAGGCAAATCGTTTTTCTTCTGGATTGCTCTCCTTGTTGAGGAAAGCCAGGTACGAACAGATATAAAATATTTGAAAGTACATTAAATGTGAGTTATAATTTGTACTATGTTGCAAAAATAAGAACAACTACTTGTCAATTGAGTAAGGAAAATGGAAGTATTCTCAGGCTTTACAAAAATGGGCAGATCTGGGTAGGAAGAATAGAAGTTCAAGGCCAGCCTGGACTACACAAGACTGTCAATAAATAAATAAATGATGAATAAATAAATAAAATATAAAAAAGTCTCAAGCTTACCTCAAAGCTCACAGCTCCATTGTGGTCTGTATCAAATGCATTGAACAGAAAATGTGCATATGTTGTCGAGTCTGAAACATTGAAAAGGGAACAGCATACGTTAGTGTTTCTGTAGCCCGCCGCTCCGTCTGCATCAGCCTGTGCACTCTGTCCCTCCTGCAGCTGCAGATCCACAGCCCCTGATGGCAGACATTCTCCAGGAGCTTCTGGCTAGGATTAATCTCAACACATGAGATCTCTGGTATTGCTACAAAACCCGGGGTGAGTGATGGTCCCATAGGTGGTATTCAAGATTAAGAGACATGTCTGGACATTGTTTGGTGCTTGGCAGAAACTTATTTATAAGAAAAGCAACAAGAACCTGAATAATGATGCACGGGTGAGTTGCTTTTATCAACCCTCCTGCCATTGTTAGCACTTTGATGGTACAACACAAAGAAGTCTTTTCAGACAGAGAGAGGTTGGGAAATTTGCTGAAAGTCACACAGGCAGAAGAGACATGAAGGTTCAGGGGCACACAGCCAGTAAAGTTGACTGGTGGCAAGGCACAGTAGCCCAGTAGGAGGGGATCGAGTGGCCTTTGAGACTCCCAGTTCCTTGCCATTGCATGCAGTAGGCAGCCCCTGCCTTGAGTCCTGGGAAGGATTCAAGGCTCTGGATAATGGGGATAATTATGGGTGACTGGATCTCCAGTTTATCCCAGTGCTATCCAAGGATAAGGAAGTTCTCTGAAATCTACTTCTTTCTTCCCCTTTGCCTTCCTCCACTGCCTTCCTTCTTCTTCCTTTGTCTTTTCACTAATCTCAAAGCTTCCCCCCTTACATTTTGAAAGTGTTTGTCACTGTTTCCTTTTTTTAATGCTCAGCCTTCTTTTTGAGTGTTTTGTTCTTGATGCTTGATGAAATTTACATGATTACTTTAAATGTTTCATCTTGTGGGTTTTAGCCTTTTGTTTTTGTTTCAAAATTGTAAGCTTTTAGATCTTTGGTTCTGGCCCTCTATCTTCTGTTTAAAGTCTCATCAATTTATCTTATGACTTTTAACTTTTATTTTTACTGGGATTTAACATAACTTCCATTCATTTTTGACATTCTGAATTGTTTTAAAAAGGCTGCCAAGGAACCATGTCAGAATAGCAGTGATGAGGGATTTCCTTGTCTAGTCAAAGAAAGCAGCATTACTCCTCTTTAAAAGTTTCTATGTCCTGCTAGAAGAGTCTGGCCTTTCCAGGACATTAGCTATGTAAGGAATATTTTATCCCAGTTATTGGTCACTGACACTAGTGAAGGTTGTGCATCTCAAGATCTCAAGGCTGACTGTACCCTCAGTTTCTCAAAAAGGATGATGGTGGCTCCTCTCATGTCTCTTTGTAAAATATCCTATGAGGCAGTAGTGATTTAAATATATGAATTGTTAACGTGTGTGTGTGTGTGTGTGTGTGTGTGTGTGTGTGTCTTGTATGCCTATGTGTACAGATACATTTGTGGGTACATATCCACGCAGAGGCCAGAGTTCGATGTTCATTCTCCACCTCAGTTTTTGAGACAAGTCTCTCACTGAACATGGACATCACCATTTCAGCTAGGCTAGCTGGCCAGTGAGCCCCAGGGAACCATCTGTCTCTGTTCTCCTCCCCCAGCACTGAGGTTGCAGGAGCATACCACCACTCCTGACTTTTAAATTGGTGCTTGGGATCTAAACTCGGTTCCTTATGCTTGAGCAACAAGCATTTTACCTACTAAGCCTTCTCCCCAGCCCCATTAACTTTGTTTCTAATGAATAAACCAGGCACCCAGATTGGATCTGTACAGTATGTAAAACCTGTATATCTACAATAGTGTCTATGTGGTATTGGTAATTTGTAGGAGGAAATAATTTTGGGTGTGGGACTAGGGAATTAATTGTAATTGACTTAGTGTAATTGTTGGGAAGTCTTATTATAGAGTAATCAAGAGTTGGCAGCCTATTCTTATTTGCAAAGTTGTTTTGTGCTCAATAGTACTGTTTGTGTACTTCTTAAACTCTTTAGGGCCCCTTGGAGACAGTATTTTATAGGTGGTATGTTACATTTATTTTCAGGAGAGGGGAGAAAAAAGAAGTTTTGCATATTTTATAATGAGTTTCATTAAGAGAGTCTCTTGTTACCCTGTTCAGACCATCAAGGTAAGTATCTCTACCTTACCAAGCACAACTCACCATGAATAATAGCTCACTTCAGATGATGTTGGTACTTTTAAAATTAAACCAAGATAATATAGGCATATGATAAAGATTAATAAATAGTGTTTCTCTAACTTCAAGGCTTGACACATGGCTGTGACACTCTTAAAGTTTATACTGATGTGTGTCAGAGGATTTCTTATTCCTCTGAGTGCACCTTGGCAGTTCTCTTAGTAGTCAAATCAATTTTCCAGCCTAAATTCATCACACAGAGAGCTTTTTCTCATCATTTAATAAAATCAGAGTGCTTGAGTTTGAGATTTCAACTTATTACAAATCTATTTTATTTAATATGTATGAGTGTTTTGCCTGCTTGTAGGTAAGTGAACCCATGTGTGTAATGCTCACAGAGGCCAGAAGAGGGAGTTGGATTCCCTGGAACTGGAGTTACAGACAGTTGTTAGCTGCCATGTGAGTGCTGGGAACTAAACCCTGGTCCTCTGCAAGAACAGCCAGTGCTGTGAGTACTGAGCCATCTCTCCAGCCCCACAAAAAAGTATTATGTATAAGAGTGTTCGGCCTGCATGTACTTAAATTCAGTGTCTTGCAAGCCCGTGAAGGCCATAAGAGGGCGTCAGATCCTCTGCTACTGAAATTACCATATGGATGCTGGGAACTGAACCTGGGTCCTCTGGAAGAGCAGCCAGTGCTTTTAACCACTGAACCGAAGATTAATGGCATGACCTTGAATAAGTTGACATTTCTGTGACTCAGTTTCCTCATCCATAAAATGTTAACAGTACTAGTATATACAACAGAGGACCATCATGAAATTTAAGTGATAGACTCCTGCACATAAGTTTTACAATTGTCTCAGGAACCTATTAGATATTCAGAGAATATGAGCTATTATTATTCTTGTGTTCTTATTTCAAGTGCTTTACAGCTGGGGCTACAGGGAGACCCTGTCTCAAAAAGAACAACAACAACAACAAAATGTGATTAAATCATTTAGAAATGTTAACTTTTTTTTTTTTTTTTCACTTAGCTAAGTTCCCATTTTCATGAAGTCTCTTTTGTGTGCCTAGGTGACTGGAGTTCTAATTAGATATACGCTTTTACACAGTAAAGGCCAGCTGAATTATGTCATGAAAGAAAATGAGCATTCTGATTAATTTCTTCTGGAAACAACAAAACATTATTAAAGAAGAGCAGTTATGCCACCAGATTTGTTGGGGTGGGAGGATCCTGAGCCCTGGGGTGTTGGGCTCAGCATAGGGGCAAACTGAGTGCAAAACAGTCTTCTATAGTCTGGCTTCAGCTGACTCAGCTTCTAAACGAATTGCTCATAGGATAGATAACTAGATTTTAGTCCAGCTGAGGGCTTAAAAGGTTTAGCAATGACCTCTGTTCTCCCTTTGTGAGCTTGATGGTCTCTGGTCCTCTTTGGTTATATCACCAAGTAACTACTGAGATAACCTATTCTTGTTTTACTCATGAAATTGAAAATGTCTTTTGAAACTGTATAGTTGTCCAGGGTACTCACGGTTTCTTGGGGTAGGAGATCTTAGTACTTAGTATATTGTCTCAGTTTGACAAAGGTGGAAAACATGTGCAGGCACCTTTAGTGCCCTAAGATAAACCTTGCTTAATGGTAGCATGAGTGACGAAATGAAAACATTGCAGTATCAGCTTTTTAAACTGCGGTTTCCTTTGGCCTGACTCCCACATTCTATAAAGGAACAGAGAGGGGCCTAGAAAAAAAACAAAACACGGCGCTAATAGAACTCACTGTCGACAGCTCATCTACAAACTTGAGACTCCTGACTTAGCCCAGGTTTCTCAACTCAGTTATTTCTACACCACAGTAACTATACCAGGAACCTTGAGCAATGGCGAGGTCTCAGGTTTGAGGAATGAAACCAAAGTGCCTGAGGATGTTTTTTCTCTATCCTAAACCCTAACTTAAGTGGATTCAAGCACAGGGTATGGAAGTTACTTAATGTGTTTGATCACTCAATTCATGGTATTGTTACTCTAGTAAGGCAGATTTATATACATGAACAGTAATCTCTCAGTAAGTCCTCTATGACTGCGGTGAATCCAGTGCAGTATATATATTTAGCCTGTGCAGGGCTCTAGGCTCTGCATACCCCATCCTTCAAAACAAGAGCAAAAATACAACGCCCAGCTCTCTACTATCCTCTTGAATTGTACTTAAAAATTATTATGCATTATACTAGAACGAGAGAGGCGCACAACAGGTAGAGTTTGGTGAATACTTTTAAAAGTTAATTTAATCTCTATGTCCACGGAAGTCAACTATGTTTTTCAAGTGTTTCATATACAATGGATGCCCAAAGAATATTTGTAGATGTATTTTCTTGACTTAAGCTCATTTCTCTTTTTTAAATTAAAAAAATATTATTTTTATTTTATGTGTATGCTTATATTGCCTGCATGTGTCGTGCAATGCCCATGGACGTCAGAAGAGGCTGTCAGATCCCCTGGAACTGGAGTTATGGATAGTTGTTAGCTGCCATGTGGGTGCTGGGATTCGATCTCAGGTCTTCTGAAAGAACAGTTAGTGTTCTTAACCACTGAGCTATCTCTCCAGCCCCTCACTCATTTCTTTAATAGCTGTTAATTGGGTAACTAGTATAGTCAAAGTGAGTGTAAAATTCATATGAAAAAGCAAGAATAGTCCAGAAACTTTCAACTTTCCTGAAAATGTGGACTGCTTGATATGCTAAGTGCTATACACTCAGTGCTTCTCTGGCAGGTGGAGAAATACCACAGCCAGTGCCATCAAGCTTTTTCCTCTCTCCTTGCCTTATACTAGGCATGCTCTATCCCTTTGCAAACAAGATGCTATTGTCAATACAGCTGTGTTGGCATCCATCCAGAACAC